TGTAGGGTGCCGCTTGGCCCAGGCTGTCCCCTGCCCTGTAGGGTGCCACTTGGCCCAGGCTGTCCCCTGCCCTGTAGGGTGCTGCTTGGCCCAGGCTGTCCCCTGCCCTGTAGGGTGCTGCTTGGCCCAGGCTGTCCCCTGCCCTGTAGGGCCCCCAGCTCGGGATCAGAAGTGACTCCTATAGCTCTGGTGTGTGTATCCGAGCAGAGCAGTGGAAACCCTCAGGGTCCTCATGGGGAACAAGTGCCCTGAGCAGGGGAGGGGCTGTTGTGAGGCAAGAGTGGAGCATGGCACTGCTGTGCCTGTCCCTGTTCATTCTCACTGAGGCCTCCAGGGAGGGGACACACGAGACAGCATCGCAATGCTTGGTGGTCAAGAGTCAGTGACATGGGACTGTGGATTTAGCACAGCTGACACCCAGCACTAAGTAAAATGGGTGTGGTGATTAACACCTATAATCCCAGCACTCAGCAGAGGCAGAAGGATCAAAAGTTCAAAGTCACTGCCTACTACATGGCAAGTTCTAGGTCAGCCTGGGCTACATGAGACCCTGCCTAAAAAGAGAGAATGTGGGAGACCACAGGCTCAGGGCAAGGCACACGGACAGGCTTCAGGTTACTATGCTTTTGCCACTGAGCCATCCCACCTAGCAGTCAAGACCACTCTCCTCTGGGAACTGGCTATCTGCCTAGGCCGTCTGCTTCTAAGTAGACAGGGGAAGATGGCATTTTGCAAACAGGACAAATGTCATCACATGGTCACGTTCCTCATTTGAGAGACAAAGCATTCCCTGATTCTCTGTCAGAGCCCATCAGCCTTTGCATCTGGCTAGGGCCTGCTGCCCTGTTCTCCTCCGGGCCTCTGGGCTCTCAGGAAGATGTGCTCACCCTGAGAAGGAGGGACAGCAGGTCTTCAGAGCGAGCCCACTGCTCCAGGACGCTGTCTAAGGTCTCGATGTACCAGGAGCCACTCTTCTTGTCTCTCCAGGAGACAAAACCTGCAGGAAGAGGAAGGCTGAAGTCTGCCACAGAGCAGAGTGGCACACTCCTTGGCAGAACATGCAGGCTACAGCCAGACTCAGACTGTGGCTCACTGGCACGTGGCAGGAGCTGCCCCATCCCTGGGGCTCCCTGCTACTCTTCACCCTCAACACCACCCGACTGGCTGTGGCTTCCATATTCTCAGCGTGGATATCAAGGTTTGGAGAAGTCAGAGATCACAAGAAGGTTCCAGGATGCACCTTATCGCTCCCTTACCAGGCAACGTGCCGAGGGAAAGGCTAGCCCCTCCCTTGTCTACTCTCTAAAACAACCCCAACTAGAATTACTGTTCTTAATCTGCACGACAGTCTGCCTGCGTGCCTTGCCTGCTTCACCCTGAGGGGGGCCTGGGAGAGGAGAAGTGACTTGCCGAGGACCCCACAGACTGTGCCCGGAAGAAACAAGACCTCGGGGCATAGCTGCCTCCCGGTTAGGGGCGGATGTGTGGATAAGCTCACCTGGGAAGGTGGAGTAGGACACAAGGATGTCACTGGGAGTGGGCAAACTTGACACTGCATCCAGCTGGTCGAAGGTCATTGGGCCTTCCTGGTATGGGACAGCATCTGGCTCAGAGTCACTGTCGAAGGCTTTGCCTTTAGAGGAAGTGCGAGGCACCTCAAAGCCATGGTCTTTCTGCTCTGCAGGAAGTGAAAACAGACACCCAGTGTCACTGGTGTCACTAAAGCACACAGTACTTCTCCTGGAAAGGGAAACGCCTGGACCTGCAGGCTTTACCTGTGACCTCTGCCAACACCAGAAGGAAACTGAAGCTGGCATATGAGAGAGTGCACTTGTTTTGAGATAGGGTCTCTCTATGCAGCCCTGGCTGTCCTGGAACTCACTATGTAGACCAGGCTGGCCTCAGATTCACAAGAGGTCCACCTGCCTCTGCTTCCCAAGTGCTGTGATTAAGGCATGAGCACAGTATTTATTTTTAATTATGTGTGGAGATGGGCTATGTGCACAGGAGTGTAGCTGTCCACAGCGGCCAGAAGAGGGTATCACAGCCTGATGTGGCAACTGAACAGGTCCTCTGCAACAGTGTGTACTCTGCATCTCTCTAGACCCTGGCCTTGGACTTTGATCACCCTCCCTTGGCTTCCGAAATAGCTGAGATTACAGGCCGAACTATTTGTATTTTTTGATCGATCCTAATTTTATACTACCCCAAAGAGGGAATCCAAACTATACCAAATAAGGGGTTGACAAGATGGCTCAGTAGGTACAGGCACTTGCTGCCAAGCCTGGGTCCCTCATGGTGAAAGAAGAGGACTGACTCCAAGTTGTCCACTGACCTCCAGTGTTGCAGGATACTTGATTCTATTGTGAACCTCGAGATTGTGAACTGTAAAAACCTGTGTCTAGTTGTGGAGGGGCTCAGCCCTAGCACAAGCCTTTAGCTGACTCCAAGTTGTCCACTGACCTCCAATATTGCAGGATATTTGATTCTATTGTGAACCCCGAGATTGTGAACTGTAAGAACCTGTTTCTAGTTGTGGAGTGGCTCAGCCCTAGCACACACCGTTAATCCAAGAGCTCTATAAACAAGAGCGAAATAAAGTTAACCCTAGGTCAAGAGGCGGAGCAAGACACCAGCTAACGGATTGAGTGGAAAAGAGGGACCCTGAAAGAAGCGTATTTAAGACAGTGTGGAGAAGAGCTAGCCTTTTAGCCTTTAGGCTTTTGGTTTTTGGCTTTTTCATTCTGGGACGTGAACTGAATAGAAAGGCTTTTTCCTTCTGGGATGTCGGCTGAGGACAAAGGTCAGTGGGGTGCTTTCTCTGCCTCTCTGAGCCAGCAGGCTTTCACCCGGCATCTGACTCCTGAGTCTTTAATGTTAAAATCGGACGACTGGGATTCTTGTTCTTAATAACAACATTCCACCAAGAAATTGATGTGTGTCATTCTCAGTCTGCAAACTGGATGTGCAGCCCAAGCCTGCAGTCACATGCTGTCTAAATGGTGGGGCTGATCCCCCATAACAACACAGAGCAGGAGGCAGAACGTCCCTGGCCTGCATGTGGCTGCCTTCTCCACATAAGCTCTAAAATCTTGAAGAGGAGTCACCCCAAGATCAACAGCTGGGCCTCTCTGAGCCACAGCTAGGCTCTGGCCAAGAGTGTCACACTGTTCGTTCACACTGACGACAGCACACCTGCTCCTGGCTCTGGGAGAAGTTTTCCAAGCCTGGTTCTGTTCCCCGTGCTAACAAAGGGTAGGTGACATGCTGCCCTTGAAATCGGAATGGTGAATCTGAAAACAGCAACAGTGGAGCCACCAAAGCCCTGGGCCGTCATTAGATGTGTGTGGACAGGACACCCAGCCAGGCAGGGAGCAGGGAAGTCGCTGTTTCTGTTCCTAGGTGACAAGGCACCATTAGATAGCAACAGCATTAACCAGCAGGTCATACTTCCTGGTGGACACAGATCGGACAAAGAAGAGACTGGAATTCCACAAGGGGGAACAATTAGGAGGGTAGACAGGGTCTCATAGCCAAGGATAGCCTGAAACTATTTTTTGGTCTCTCTATATAGCTCTCACTGTCCTGGGACTATGTAGATGGGCCTAGCCTGGAACTCACAGAGAGCCTCCTGCCTCTGCTTCCTATGTGCTGGGATTAACCTAGTCAAGGAAGGGGGTATCTAGGGAAGACTTCCTGGAGACAATGGCAATAAACTGGAAGTAGAGGGACAGGAGAGTTGGGGGCTGGAGAGATGGCTCAGCAGGTGAAAGCACTGGCTGCTCTTGCAGAGGTTCTGTTCCCAGCATCCAAAGAGCAGCTCCCAACCATTTCTAAATGCAGTTCCAGGGGCTCTCATGCCCTCTTCTCGCCTTCACAGGCTCCTGCACTCATTCAGTGCAGTCTTACGTTCATGCAAAATACCAAATACCTAACTTAAAAAAAAAAAGCCAGTTATGATGGCGCAGTCCTTTAATCCCATCATGGAGGCAGGTGTATGTCTATGAGTTTGACAACAGTCTGGTCTACAAAGTGAGTCCCAGGACAGCCAGGGCTACACCTCAAAAAATTAAATAAAGATAGATAGATAGATAGATAGATAGATAGATAGATAGATAGATAGA